ATAAGTTGATTTAAGGGAAATTTTCTGTTATTCAAAACTTCACAACTTAAGGTTAACTTTTAATAGTATTTTCAGTAAATGAGAGAAGAAGTTTAAATGAAACCATTCAACTGTTGTAAGGTATGTCAGATATTAAAAAGAAAAGTATTTAACCCCAGATTACTTACTAGTCACAAAACATCAGCTCACCAAAAAGGTTCAATAACAGAGATCAGAAAAGCCACACAGTACTCATCTCTTTCATACCAAAAACAGCCCTATTATTTTTATTCCTTCTAAATTGCATTCACAAAATTCACAAAAATTGCAAGGCAAATTATTTTAACAACTTATATATATTAACAATAAAAAATACCATTCTCGCCCTAACTGGTTGGGCTCAGCGGAGCGTCAGCCTGCGGACTGAAGGGTCCCAGGTTCGGCACATCCCCAGTAGGGGGCGTGCAAGAGGCAGCTGAATCGATGTTTTAGGGGGCGTGCAAGAGGCAGCTGAATCTACGTTTCTCTCTCATCGATGTTTCTAACTCTCTATCCCTCTCCCTTCCTCTCTGTAAAAAATCAATAAAATATATTTTTAAAAAATACCATTCACATTTTCAATAAGAAAATACCATTTCTTTCTACAGAAGAAAAATCATGGACTCTGATAAAACATTTCTATAACATGTACATGTTTACTGATTAACTACATACAATATTTGATCCACTTTAAACCTATAGGTAAACTCGATAGCTTGTCAGACTTAACTTTCATATATAAAATTGTGTGCAAATACCTCAATACTGAAACAAGACAGTGATTTGTATACTAGTTCTAAATCTAGATTTTTGTGTGTAAATACGTCCACTGAGGAATTTTTAAATCTAATTCATTTATTCATTCAATACCGAATCTACTACATATTTTTAAGCAGTGGTTCTCAACTGGGGGCAACTGTGCCCCCCAGGGGGCATTTGGCAATGCCTGAAAATGTTTCTGGTTGTCACAATTGGAAGGGAGAGGAAGTTGTTGCCAGAAAGGTATGCTACAGACATCTACTAAGAAGAGGCCAGGGATGTGGCTAAACATCTTATAAAAAGCACAGGCCAGCCCCCACAACAAAGAATTATCCATCCCAAAATGTCAATACTGCCAAGGTTGAGAAACTCATCTATGTAAAAGTTTGTAAACACCCATCTGTCTAAGAATAATACTCATTTCACCTCTGTTTACTATATTATTTGCTAATTTCCTTATTTTCATACTAGTCTTTGGCAACAAGCTTACCCTATTCCCATCCTTTCAATCAGTGTCTAACTTCCAAACCTGTCAACAAAAAATCACCATCTCAGCCAATGTCAAAACCTTATCATCTTTGACTCATCTCTATTTTTAATAATGGTAGAAATGGTAGCAGCTAACACATACTGAGCTCTTCACTGTGTGCAAGGCACTATTCTACGTGCCTCATATATATTAACTCATTAAATCTAGGTTTAAGTACTAAGTACTCTTATTAGGCCCATTTTACAAATGGAGAATCCAAGGCACAAAAGGTTAAATACTTTGCCCAAGGTCACACAGATAATAAGCAGCTGAGCCAAGTTTCAAATCCAGGCAGCATGGCTCCAGAATTCATGCCCTTAATAAATACTCCAAAGTGATCTCTCCTATTTCCCCCTCTATGTCAAATCATTAAGTTATTTAAGTTCCACAAGGACAGGGACTCATATTCACAGCAACATCCCCAGGGCCCAGTACATAACAGATGCTCAAAAAAATTTTGTTTGTTAAATGAATGAAATATCCCTTGACCTTACCCCTCCTATTTCCTCTGCCTCCACTCAAGGCCAGTCTTTGAGCATTTCATACTTGGGTTTGTTGCGGTATCCTATAAAACAGCCAATCAGGTAAATTGATATAAACTCCTTTCCCACATTTTCCATAACCAGAGCCCATCCAACGTATTCCAAGTTTTCTTCCCACTGCTTTTCAATTAAAATAATAAAATCTTAAGAGTCAGAAGGTACCTTAGCAATCACCCGGTCCAACATTTTAAAGATTAAAAAACCAAAGATGGTAATTGACTAAATCACCTAGCCAGGTGTAGCGAGGACGACGACTTGATTCTTGCCATTTCTGCTCTACTATCACTCCTGGAGTATTTGCTTAACTCCTGACAGTTGTGTCCTCACTATCCCATCAACAAATTATGTTTGTTTCCATTGTCCAAGCTTAATTTGTTTCTCCTGACCAGCCTGCCCTCATCTTCTTGCTCCGTAAGTCCAACTCCCATCCATCCTTCAAAATCTCTTCTATTCCATTCTTCATGACTTCCTCATTCTCTGAAAATCTTATGTCCTGAATAAGATGCTAGAGCAGTGGTTCTCAACCTTCTGGCCCTTTAAATACCGTTCCTCATGTTGTGACCCAACCATAAAATTACTTTCATTGCTACTTCATAACAGTAATGTTGCTACTGTTATGAATCGTAATGTAAATATCTGATATGCAGGATGGTCTTAGGCGACCCCTGTGAAAGGGTCGTTCAACCGCCAAAGGGGTCGCGACCCACAGGTTGAGAACCGCTGTGCTAGAGGCAGAGGATTACTGTTGCCTACTGGGCCAAGTTTAACCCACATTAACACTTTCCACAAAGCAAAGCTACGTGGATTTCTTCCCTGAAGACTATTCACCCACTCTTGCCTCCTGTGTTTTATAAATATATATATATACCGTATATAAATATATATATATATACCGTATATAAATATATATATATATATAATTATTGATTTCAGAGAGAAAAGGACAGGGAGAGGGAGACAGAAACACCAATGATGAGAATCATTGATCGGTTGCCTCCTGCATGCCCCCAACTAGGGATCCAGCCTACAACCTGGACATGTGCCCTAGACCAGAATCGAACCCAGGACCCGTCAGTACGCAGGCCGACACTCTATCCACTGGACCAAACCAGCTAGGGCTGCCTGTGTTTTAGGAAGTGATTTCAATAAAGAATAAGCCATATAACACCTTCTTAACATGTTCACTCACATCCCTGGAAGAAAAACTCACTCACATCTTTAATCAGGGGTCCTCAAACTACGGCCCGCGGGCCACATGCAAATACAAATATTGTATTTGTTCCCGTTTTGTTTTTTTACTTCAAAATAAGAAATGTGCAGTGTGCACAGAAATTTGTTCATAGTTTTTTGTTTTTTTTTTTAATATATTTTATTGATTTTTTACAGAGAGGAAGGGAGAGAGATAGAGAGCTAGAAACATCGACGAGAGAGAAACATCGATCAGCTGCCTCCTGCACATCTCCTACTGGGGATATGCCTGCAACCCAGGCACATGCCCTTGACCGGAATCGAACCCGGGACCCTTCAGTCCACAGGCCGACGCTCTATCCACTGAGCCAAACCGGTTTCGGCCATAGTTTTTTTTTAAACTATAGTCCGGCCCCCCAACGGTCTGAGGGACAGTGAACTGGCCCCCTGTTTAAAAAGTTTGAGGACCCCTGTCTTTAATAGTAGACATGTAATTCTTGAATGGCCCCAAATCCCTTATATCTCCTCCACTAAGGAACAACTCAGCTTGTTCACAAAGTCCAAACCCAGAATTCTCTGAATACAACTCACCTAGCAGCCACAGCTTCCTGAGTTCATCTTTTTCTTTGCTTTACTTCCTCCAAAACTCCAGTTCTAAGGAACAGTTCACACTTCCTTTTCTGCCCCCACCCCCATTCCCTACTCTGTGCAGTACAGAACATCTTTTATCCTTTATTATTTTCTATAGGCCTCTTCAGGGAGAGTCCAGTTTGCTACCTCTCATCCAACCTCAACTACCCCTCCTTTATATAGAGGGCATATCTATGTCTTCAGCTTCTCTCAGGCCTCAGGTTATCTAAACCTCATGAAGGTCAACTTTGTTTTTTCTTTTCCTCCCTTCTCCACTCTCCCTTCCTCTAAAAAATCAGTCTCAAAAGTGGGGTGGGCGGGAGCAGCTCAGAGGAAGTGCAAAAGAATCCACTGGGCTGCAGGAAAAGATACATATTAGAACTTAATTTATTATACTTATTGTTCATTTCATGCTTTCTTAAATTCTATTTCTGTGTACATTATAAGTTGCATACATATTAACACAGTTCAGACAAATATAAAATTTAAAAGATACATTAATACCTGAGGTTTATGCTCTTTTACTGATAAAAGTGTATGATCAGGAGACAACTATTCTAAAAATACCTTGGTAACCAGAGTAATAGGTTCCAGACTACAGAGAGGAAATACGTATGAATACATACACACCCGGTAGAAAGAAAAACTTGTTCGTATCCAAAACCCTAACCATGCCCACCAATCTCCTCTAACCCCTACCAGCCATCTCAGGATTCTATCCTACTTAAAAGAGCAGAAGAGAGGTAAACCCTTCATTTCCAGTTTGTTTTGGGGGGGGGGGGTTTTGGGGGGGGCGGTAATCAAAAAGTGCTAAGATACACCCCTTAGCTCTCCCATGGGCGGGCATTGCCCACTGTCCTGGCACTGCACATCGCCTGACTTACGAACAGACTTTCTACGCCACTGGCTCCCGAGATTCCGTGGCTCTTTCCCCATCCCTTTAAGACACAACTCCCGTTCTCTTCGCTAACGATCGATTGATACCAACACCCCCAGGATGGAGCTCACGCCTCCCCTCCCCTGGCGGCACTACCCACCGCGCCCTCCTCCCGGAGCCGCGCAGCCGGGTCCCAGGACGGAGGGGCAGCCCGACCGCGGTCCCCGAGACCACGGCTCTCGCCCCCGCCCCCGGCGCTGCCAGCCGGGCTGGAGACGGGAGGGGGAGGGGTGTGCCTCGCCTCCCGTGACGGGCCCAGATGGCAGCCGATTCCGCCCCCACGCCCGGGCACCCTTCCACCGCGCGACCCCCTCAGGCTGCCCGTCCGCCGCCCACCCCGCCCCAAGCCCGCCCGCGGCCTCCCGGCGCCCTCGCGCCGGCCCCCGGGCACACTCACCGTGCTGGGTGAAGATATTGAAGCCGGCCTCCGTGGTGCGCCCCGCCAGGTCCCGCCGGCGGCCGGAGGGCCTGGCCGCACTGCTGCCCCGGCTCCCGCGGGGCTGCGTCTGCTGAAGCCCGGGAGCCTCCCCGACGCGGCCCACCTGCTGCCCCATCCCGGCGCTCGCCAACTCCCGCGCCCCCGCCGACCCCCGGTCACATTCCTCCTCGGCTCCGGCCTCGGGCTCCTGGGGTTGCTTCGGCCTCCGTGCCAGTCCTGGCCCCGGCCCTGGGGAGCCGGGTGGCCGGCGGCTCCTCACCCGCACTCCTCACGCTGCCTCTCGGCAACTCACAGACCCTCCTTCCCCCTCCTCCTCCCGCGGCTCCGCGTCCCCAGCGCCGCCGCCGCCGCCGCCATCTTTAAACCACCGAGCTCTGGGAAAGCATGGAGCAGAGCGTCTCCCGCCCCCCCACCCAACCAGTCACCTCCGCTACTCCGAGGGCCGACTTCGCGCCGGCCCCGCCCCCTGCGCAGGCCCCGCCCCCCTGCGCAGGCCCCGCCCCCGGTGGGAGCCCCAGTGCCCACCTCGCTAGCACGGCCGCTGCCCCGTCAAGGTCTTTCGGACCTTCGGTCCCTTCCCCGCATCTCGGACTCCCACGTTCCGCTTCACACGCGACCGCCTTTGGTGGTCGGTGGGTGTCAAGCCCTCCCTGTCCCACCTCCACCTGCCACATGAATCCGCCCAGCGATGCGCCCCGGGTGCACCGCGCCTTAGCAGGCACAGCTGGGAGAGACAAGCACGGGGCAGGAGGTGGTTGCCGTCCAGGTGAGGATCCCTAAAGTGCTCGGGAGGATCTCTGTACACACCCTTGTCAGCAGCAGGCCGAGGGTCAAAATCAGCCAAAATGTGCATGAAGATAGTAAAGAGGTACACTATTGTTTCATTGTGATTTTTTTTTTTTTTTTGGAAATTATTTCATGATGGTAAATTGCACTCGGCTGGCTCGGTTGTCTGCACTCTACAGACTCAGGGGAGAAGCAGTTGTGGCCCCAGTCCTCGTATTATGTTACCATGAATTCCTCTTGAACTCCTTTACCACCTAACCACATGTGTGTTTCTGTTACCCTCACAATGCTTGACAGTCAAGCTAATCTTCCCACTGGTGTGCTTTATAAACCTGGCACGTGGTCAGGTCTTCTTTTGATGACAAAGGGGGACAAAAATCTATCTTTAACTCTGTTTTCTGAGTCAGGACTTACTCACCCTTAATTTATATTATCTAAAGAGGGTGAGTCAAGCAGAAAAGTGTGTTTATACGCACACACAATACATATTTATGTGTGCAAATATTCACTTATCCCCCCAGTACACATTCTTGCATCTTAATATTGATCCAGCTTTTTAAATTTTCAAAGAATTGGATAATTATCTTCCTTTGGCTTTTCTATTTCCTTTATAAAAAGTATCAGTTATTGAGGGTATCCCACTGAAAATTTGCTTAAAATGAAAGCAGAGAGGATGGATGCCATGGTAAAGAAGCAACAAAACAATCACTGGGAAGATAGGTTTAGGAGAAAGAGGGAACTGCTGGTCTCCTTTACATGTCTTAAAAGCCTGACCTTAGATGAACCATCCCTGACATTGATACTCACTATTATAAGAGCACTATGAAATTATTCCATTGCCATCCAGGCTGTGGCCAGAAATAACAGAAACTGCCCCAAAAAACGGGAACAAAACCACTATGCTTTAGCACTGAATAGAATATGAATTTTCTATTTGGATCGAAGTTTTCCTGTGTTTAAAATACCACACACACACCCCTTTTTAATTCTCAAAGTGTTTGCAACCGCTGGGAAAAAAAATCATTCACGAGGAATAAAAGTGGTCACAGAGCAAAATGTTGGGGTTTTTGTTTCATTTGTATTATCTTAGAAAATTCAATTTGGGGGTATCAGTCTGGCTTCTCTGCTAATGTTATACAATGTAATATGCATATAGTATGCACAGTGGTTAGGGTAGGAACTCTGACGCTTAGACTGCTTGAGTTCAAAAGTGTGTTTATATTATTAGCTATTTGTTCTTGGGCAAATAACCTTTTAATGCACTAGTTCCTCATCTTTGAGGTGATGATAATAACAATAGTACTTACCTTATAGTGCTCTTGTGAGAATTAAATTAGTTAATATATATATATTTTTTTTAAATATATATTTTATTGATTTTTTACAGAGAGGAAGGGAGAGAGATAGAGAGTTAGAAACATCGATGGGAGAGAAACATCGATCAGCCGCCTCCCGCACATCTCCCACTGGGGATGTGCCCGCAACCCAGGTACATGCCCTTGACCGGAATCGAACCTGGGACCCCTCAGTCCGCAGGCCGACGCTCTATCCACTGAGCCAAACCGGTTTCGGCATTAATATATTTAAAGCACTTAAAACAATATTGGGCATGTGTCATACAAGCACTTAATATTCATACCAAAAAAAATGTAATGTTTTCAGAAGTCCATCAACTTTTCCAAGTCTAATTTCTTCAAGTGATATAAACTTAGTTCATGGAACAAATTCTACAGTATTTATTCAGGTGAGCCACCACCACCACCACCTACCACTCTGCATTTAACTAAAAACAAAAACACCCATCAACCAATAAAAACATGTGGAATCATATGTCACCTTATTAGTCATTCCTACCTGGTTATCACCAGCTACCTGCACATGTGAACAATTACATAAGACCTTTGTTTTTCATATGAAAAATTCCTCTGTCATTGATTCTTAAGATCCTATCTAGGCTAAAACAAGAATATCTTGTAAGTAGACACTTAGAATACATGCACTATCTTGTAGATGTTTTCCATTCTTTCATTTTCAACGTGAGATGGGAACTTTCAGAAAGGGAGTTGGTGAGAAACAAAGTTAGGGAAACTATTTCATCTCAACATAACCAAGCCAAAATGAATTACCGGAGAATTACACTTTAACATTCAAAACAATCCCAAAACATAAACTTAATTGAGGGCAGCTGTGAGCTTCCATCGGGGCAGAAAGCGTGTGTGTGTGTGGGGGGGGGGGTGGCGGGGAGAGTAGCAGGGATGGTGCACAGTAGTGCAGGGACAGCCTCACCTGTATGATGGCCAGGGAACTGGCATGGAAGATCAGACACAGCACCAACACCAACAGGCACACTGAAGACACATATGCTCATCATCTCGATCTTCTCCAGAAGCAATGCCACTATTTCCAGAAGCAAGAAGAGTGTGAGCCATGCTTCACTGATCCTTGTCTTCACCAGCCTGCATTTCCAGGCTCTTGCTACAGTCTTACATTATCTCCCATATCTACTTCTTTCCCTGCATCTGTATGGACACAATGTTCATTTGGACTCAAGTCATCTCTCTGCTGGATTCGCCTGCTACTAGCCTTTTCCTCCCAGGTTCCAAACCTTTAGCACCAGCAATGTATTAAAACAGAAATATTTCTTCCTCTCATTGCTTTGACCATGCTCCCCTCCCCTCCATTATATACAATGTCTAAGTTTTTCATCTAATGTTTCAAAATTATTTTCCAGGACACCCTGGATTATAATTGCCTAGTGTTCATCATCTCCTGTTCCTCAAACCCATACCCCTTCTATGACAGGTATATATACATCCAATTAGCCTCTTTCTGGGATGCCTTCTTTTTTAGCTATGACTTTCACAATAATCACATTATCCCCAGTATGGCTCCTGAGTGATTCCCCTTATGGTACTCAGGATTCTACTCAGATCCTGCCTCCTTCATAAGAAAATCTCAGATTTATACATAGAGATATAACAGTTTTCCCTGGTCTCTATTCTGTTCATACCTACAACAAGCATAGCTGATAACAATTCTTTGCCTATAAAATTCAGTTACCTTCCTCTACATCCCCCAAATGTGTTTAATTTTGACAGGTGGCTCAGAGTCATAGGGTTGGAAAGAATTTTAGAGGTCATCTAGGCAAATCTCCTGGAATTCCCTCTATAATAACTCCAGTGAGGGAGCCCATTTATTTTAAAACATTCTAATTCTTAAAAAGTTCTTCCTAAAGATACACTGACACATGCCTCCCTGAAATTTCCACCTGTTTCACCCCTGGTCCTAGTTGTCCCCAGTAGCTACACAAAGCAAACCTAACCTTTCTTCTACACAACAGCCCTTCAAATATCTGAGAGTTGTCATATTTCCCTAAACCTTTTCTTTTACTTGCATACATGAATGTTTTTGTATGATTATGTTTATGTCTGTCTGTATTATCTACATGGGCTAAAATGTTTATGTCGACAATTGAAACTAAAAAAAGTCATTGTATATGTAGTTTTCTTTCTCCCTTTTCCAGCTTTATTGAGCTATAATTGAAATATAGCATTGTTTAAGGTGTTGATTTGATACACTTATATATTACACAGTGATTATCACCATATCCTTAGCTAATATCTACATTACCTCACATAATTGCTATTTTTTAACAGTAAACAATACTCACATTTTTTATTCCAAACTAGGTTTTTTTACAGGACCATGGTTCTTCTGCCCCTACAAAAACATTTTTTAACTTATCTTTATTGTTGAAAGTATTACAGATATCCCCTTTGTTTGTTTGTTTGTTTTTCCCATTGACCCCTGTCCCCACCCCCTATTTCTTTTTTGTGGTGAGAGCATTTAAGATCTACTCTTAGCAAATCTCAAGTATATAATATAATATTATTAGCTATATCATCATGCTATACAACAGATCCCCGGAACTTATTCAGCTTATAACTGGAAGTTTGTATCCTTGAACAATATCTCCCCATTTCTTTCACCCCCAGCCCCTGCTAACCATCATTTTCTCACAAATGGCAGAATTGCCTCCCTTCTCATGGCTGAATAATATTCCATGGTATATATGTACCACATCTTCTTTATTCATTCTTTTAAGCTGTTTGTGCATGCAGTACTTTGAATTTTGTTTATGTGTGGTTTGTCTCTGCATTGTTGTTGCATTAAATCTTTCAAGGCCTATACAGTGCTAAATACAGTTCCATTTACAGAAACACACTTTAAAAGTTTTTTTGGATGACAATCAGGAGGAGGAAGATGACTCTGATCTGGCTGGGATAGAATAAGTCATTCTCTTTGAAGATAAGGAGATGGATTAAATGACCTCTTATTGTTCCTCTTAACTCCCATGGGTCTATGATTCAATATTTCTTCGATTAAAACCTTTATAAATTATTAAGAGACCACTTCAAATTGGCAAAGTGCTATATAAATGTCACTAGTAGCGATAATAACATCTATTCATTTTAAGTTAATAAATTAGTACTCATCCCTTTCCTATGGTAATAATGAAACAGCCGATTAAACAACCCATTTAACATGTAGCCCATCACTACAGTGTAATGGAAATGGGCCTGGTTTAGA